TTTTAAGAGATATATGGAGCACTTTAATGTAATAAAAATTGCTATAGTTAGCCGTTCGTAAGGTAATTTTCTTTTGACATCTGTCAAATTACATAATCTTGAATTTTGGTACAAAGCAGAATGCTGTCAAACTTAAATAGAAATATTCTGGTGGTGGGCTTCGTGTTGTTGTTTTTGCTTTGGTTTGGGGTTTTTTGTTGTTGTTGTTTAAGGTAAATGGGCCCCATTTACATTAGTTCTTTGATGTTAAATTCTTTGCTGCACATCAGAGAACAGTTGCTTCTTCCCTGGAGCAAATTTTCTTTCTTCTCCTTCCCCTACCCTTTGATTTTCCTTTTTTTTTTTTTCTCCCCAGTTTGCTTACAATTTTATCTAGCTAATTATGGAGGATCAGCTTATGTATGGCCATCATTTAGTTAGTTGCAGGCATTTTGAAAAATGATTATTTCATAGCCAGTACCCTAAACAGATTCCTTAAATCTGCTTCTCTGTTAGTGACTATGGGTGTGTATGTGTACCTCTCTACACAAGAGTTATGTTTGTGAGGTTTTTGGTGGTTTTGTATTGGTAAGGTTGAAATCAAATTAAAACACTACAAGACTTTAACTGGTTCATGTATGGATGAGCAGGATTTCACTAGGCATGCTTGACTCTAACAGATCTGCCTGCATTGGGTTGCAGGAGTTCATTTTCATATTAATTTTGTAGCATAACTGAAAGCATATTTCTAATTTCCAAAAATTGCCATTCCAAAGCTGAAAGATTTGCACAGGTTTATACCATTCTGAAAAATTAATGGCTGCATTTTTGGTAAACGTTCAAGACATCCTAGATGCCGACGAACGACGAAGTTGTTCACGTACCTGCAAACCCCCCTAGTGCTGCGGGAGCTGCTGTCGCACCAGAGGTGTCCATAAAACCTCAGAATGGGCAGCTGCTCTGCAGGACGTGTGTGCTGAGACGTGGCTGGTGGCCGAACCCACAGCTGGCTGGTCCTGGGCTGTCCCAGGCTGCCCACGAAGGAGGGAACCCCTGGGAGAGCAACGTGCTGCAAGCACACGGTGTGCACGGTCACCCTCGTGCTCTGCAGCTTCAGCACAGACTTCCCCAGGTCAGACTTCAGCAGGTGGTTGCTTGTAATGCACACAGCAAAAGTTCAAGTTCCATCAAGTGGAATTAGACCTGAGTCTCCTCTAATACATCTAATACTTTAAAAACAGCACTTGACGCTCCGTAATTAGGGCATGACATGGTATTCATTTGGAGTACGGACCCGTCATGGTAGATCCTTTGCTACTTTTTTCTTAGTAACAGTTGTGTTTCATGAAAAGAAAAAATGAAAATCAGATTGTGTTCGAATAGCATCCATTAATTCAGATACCACATCTGTAGTGCTAATGCCATTTTTAATTTTTACATGAAATGTTTTGTTGAAGTCGGTGCAGTTTTGCTCAGCAACCACAATATGATGCTTTAAGGCTTGTTATAGAATTATGGTTGGTTTTTAAAACCAATTAACTGTAACAAGGACATAATCTTTTTAATGCAAAAGTCCTCACTCTGTAATATAGAGTAACTGCATGTAAAATTGTCGTAATCAGATAATTTTAGCTAAAATGCGTATTAACTGTGTGAAACTAAACAGAAGTTAATTTTTGAATCAGTGGGATTCCTCTATGGCTTATCCAATTTAAACCTTTTTATTATAGAAATGGATATTACAATTGATACTTCTGACAAGTTTTTGCCGAGTGTGAATTTCAACAGCCACCTCTCACACGCGGAAAACTAGTTTAAGACCATTAACTATATTTGCAGTGCTGCCCATTGCTATAAAAAGAGTTAGACTTTAATGAATACTGGCTGACCTTCCAAATGTTCACCTTCCAGTTGGATTTTTATTCATTATGTTTCTGAAATAGCATGTAACCTGAAAGTGAGGGAATGCCCTTAAAGGAACACAGAGGCAGCCTGTGCTTCATACAATGCACAGAGCCGAGCAGCCTGCTACAAAAGAAGGGAGCCCAGGAACCTGCTGCTTGTGTACACCGTGCCATTTTTAACCTTCTCGTTTGTCAAGATAAATGTAATATAAATCCTCAGTTATGATCACTGTGCGCAGCTACACGTATTTACTTTGCAGTAAATCTTTGCTTATTTTTTGTAAGTAAAAATCCCTTTATATATATGTGTGTGTGTATATATATACATATATATATAGGAGTGCTACGTAGTGCCCCAGGTTTATGCCTCCCCAGGCTGCAAAGTAACAGCTGGTAGCCTGGAGGTGTTAAATTAGTTTAGCTGCAGGTTTGAAAAAGGAAGAAATTTGGCATTTCTGCAGTAAAAGAACTTAATGGCAAAGAGCGTTCCTGTGCATTGCCACAAATTAGGTCTTTTCAGCTGACCACTGGGATACAACTTGCAGAAACTGCCTTCTGTGTAGCTTGTGATGATGCAAGACCTGTATGGTGTTATGGATCTGGAGAGAAGGGCTGAAGTCAGCAGATGTCCATAAAGTCTTGATAGCCAATTTTAGACAGTTTTTAGCCAATATTTGCTATCTCCAGTGGGAGTTTTGGTACCTCTGAAATCAGGCCCCTCAAATAAGGATGTTGTGGTGGCAAGTAAATGCAAGAATTTGTAGTTTGTTGTTGACTTGGAGACAGCTTAAAAACAGTTTGCAAATTGGAATTTGTCAAAGCCATTACAAATCAAAGTGTTTTAATTGTCCTTAAAAGAAATGGCAGGATGCACTTGCTTTGTTCTCAGTTAGGAATAAAACTGGGATTCAGCACCTCTCTTTCAGCCCTGCTCTATCATGGCCAGCTCAGGTTGTCCTGGTCCTACGCAGTGTGAACAAACAAGTTGTAATTTGCTTATGAAAGTTAGGGGTGTGTTTTTGTTATTTATTGGGATTTCTTGTATGGGTTCAGGAGGTTACAGAGCTGCTTTCATGACAGATGAAGACTTTTACCCCAGGCAAGCTGAGTGCGAGCAGCTGTAATGTGATCTTCTTTGCAGCGCCTTGCTGCCTGGTATCTCTGCTTTCTGGGAGTAGCAGTAATTTAATCTATTACTGTCATTTATTTTTTACATTTTTCCTAAAGATAAACTGGCACTTTCAATCACTTTGTGATAGGCAGTGCTGGTAAAGTGTAATCTGAAGCTGGATGACAATACAGTGGAAAGAGTGTTAACATGGGTGAGCCCGAGTACAAAGAGAAATGTAGGACAGAGCTGTCTGACATAGCTGCTGCTGTGTTACGGCTCTCTAGTTATGCAGCCCACCAATATGTGAGCCCCTGCACTGTTTGTGGCTCACTGTAAATGATAGGTGTAGAAAAAATGGAATTTAATTTGTCTGGTGCTCCAAAATTCTTGTATATGTTATCTTAAACCAGTATGTTGTGCCGTTATTTCTATTTATAACAAAACAAAGTATTTTTGAGAATTAGGCACATGCTCGATAATGGTTTTGATCAACTATTTTAGTTTATTTTTTAATACCAACAAGCATATGAAATATAGAGACCTCCACATGTTTCATAATCTCGGAATTTGAGGGGATTTAAGATCTTGAATTGCAGTATCATGTAAACTTTAAGATTATTTTTAACTGGCTGTAATATGCTTATTTTAAGCTGCACCACCAACTGCGTGGATGGCATGAGATGATGTGAGCCCTATCATGCTCTGCAGCAGTGCTTCACAAACACTGGCGGCAACTTAAAGCCCCTAAATTGTACTCCAGCAAAATCAATAAAACTATTTGCTTGACCGAAATCCTTCGTGTTTGCAGAACCAGGGTTTCAGTCTTGCAGCTGGACACAAGCAGGGTTCAGAGGCTTTGGAGGCCCCCCAAAGCCACGTGCTGGCCCTGAAGGAGCGGGTGCTGGGTGCTGGGTGCTGTGCCGTAAAACTAAAGAGGACAGATCAAAGATTTTAACATGAGGTCAGAGAGATTCTGAGAAGTTAATCAGCTTAAATTTGCTTCAGAACTCAGCTACATAATACCCTGTCCCCTAAGAAAATATTTTCCTTAGACACCTGTCCTCGAATCTGAGAGCCAAGAACAGGAGAGCGCCGAGTGGTTCATCTGAGGACAGCGTTGGGATGCTGGGCTATCATGTAATGCGGGGTCGACTTTACAAGGAAAATATGAATTGGAGTTGTCCCCTGAAATTAAATGGAAAATATTTTTTGAATTATTATTGTGTAATTATTATTGAAAATAAAGTGTTTGAGGGAAAAACCTTACGAGCTACTTTTCCCCAGAATTATGAAAGTATTTGCTGATTGGACACCGCTGTGACAAAGCAGCCTTGTTTTCACTCGGTTTTGTTCTTTATCTTTGGGTTGTGAAAGAAATGCCTGGAGAAGGAGAGCTGTGTGTCTGAGAGATCCCACTTGGCTCAGCTGCACACTGGGGTTGATTTTCAGCTTAACCACAACCTATAAAAAATATAAATAAATAAAAAAAAGCAGGAACATGAAACTGGACAGAAGGAAGGTGCAGACATCGAGCTGCCCCATGAAGTTCATGTCGTATTGTACCCTTTTACAGCCTGGGCTGGGGCTTGGGACTTTTTCCTTCCCTTTTCCCTTCGTTTAGAGATGAAGTCACCCTGATAAACCGGAGCCCGCCTTCCTGCCTCCCCCTGCCGCGCACACACGCACGCTCCCTCCTCTCTGCCTCTCTCTCTCTCTCTCTTTTTTTTTTTTTTTTAATCCGCAGAAGTCTTTATGTTTTTCTAATAATTGGCAGCAGAGGTACAATTTCTCCCCTCTTTTAAGTGATGAATAGTTGGCCCCAGATCAAAGGCGAGCCCTTGTGGTTTTTTGGCTGCCACAAAAGGGCGGTGGAGCTGGCGCGGGGCCCGGCGGCGCAGTGATAGGCATGCCGATGAGGTGCCAGGCGGAGGGCTCGGTGGCAAAGTGTCTGTACACGTTCCTCGTCCCAGCTAATCTGGCTCCTTTTGTGCATGTGTGTGTTTCAGGCGAACAGCCGGCTGAAGCAGGTTGAAAAGGAGTACAGTCAGAAGCTGGCTAAATCCTCGCAGGTAGGTACCGAGAAGAGAGGAACTTCCCATGGATTCATTTGATTTGGAGACTTGATGAAAAGTGTAATTGCTCCCGCTCTTAAGTGTAGGGCTTTATGATCAAGAGAAGCCATAACCGTTTCCCAAATCAAACATACAAAGACTTTCTTACAGATGTTAACCTTAGAAAAAATACAGAACATCCAACTAACTAGAAAAAAATGATTGTAGTTGTTTTTTTTTCCTTTTTGTTTTGTTTTGAGCTTTCTTCTTTTATATCCCAAGAGGATCGAGTCCTCCACAGTCGGTGGGAACTGAAGCCCGAGTGCCCCAGCAGGCAGCCCTTGTAGAACAGCACAGCTTGGAGGGGCAGGAGCCCTTGCATAATCAGGAGCTGTGTTTCGTGGGACAAGGTGGTGTTTGCCCACGCAGCTGATGACAGGACTCCAGTCCCGACTGGGCCGGTTCGATGTTTATCATTGCTCCCAGCCAGTTCAGCGTATTTGCCCAAAATAACATTTGGAAGAATGCAGTGTCCTGAAAGCAAACTGTTTTTGAGTTGAGTTTTTGTTCTTCAGGGTAGTCCTTAGAACATGAAAGATGAAAGTGTGCTGAATTTGCATATATGCAAAAATGATAGAGCAGGATGACTTTTAAATGTTTCAGCTTTTTTGATTGACAGGCAGTACTGAGGTGTGAAAAATGATGGAGATGCGACCAGAAGTTAAGCTTTGAATAATAAGAAAATTGCCATGAGGATTTACATGGAGGTGTCATTCTTCTCATTCCTCCAAGCCACTGCATAATGCCTTCCTTATACTTTCAAAGGTGTTTTCAGCAGTAGGAATAATAGTCTACCACGCTTCTAAAATCAACAAAAACACTATAATGAAGGGGTTAGGAGCCTCCAAACTAGAAGAGGTGATCAGTGACACAATGACAAGAAACTGCAAACCTTAAAGTTCACAAAACGCTTGAACATATTTTAAAACTCCTCATTTCCACTTTTCAGCTACCTTTGGGTCTCATTCTCTCTAAACTTGACCCAAATTATGGCTTTAGCTACTTTCAAGAAATTTCATTGGACTACCCTGTTTTTTCACACTGCATTCTTTGAGACTGCATTTATCAGGATCATCGGTAAATATATTGTCACATTATATTTCAAAAAATAAATGTGTGTTTTCTGCACATTTGTTTGCACACAGAGAGGTGTGTCCATCCTTGTGGGGTCTCCATCCTTGGAGATACTCCAGACACGAGTGGACAGGGTCCTGAGCAGCCCACTCTAAGTGACCCTGCTTTGAGCTGGTCCCTCCCAACCTCTCCAATTCCACAATTTTGCAGTCCATCCTCTTCTACATGCCTTTTTAGTCATTTCTTGAGAGTCTTATAAAATACAAAAACTATATTATTCTGCTATCTGAACCTGAATAGCAGAAAATTTGTAAGACCCCAAAAGTAATATTTCATGCCTGTCAGACCTCGAGAAAGAGATCCTTTTCATTGCTAACTCCATTTTACCTTTTGTTTGTCATTTTTATACTATTGTTGTGCCTAATGACCATAATCCAAAGTCAGCCTGTCTGTGCCAGGCGTAGTTTACTGTCAGAACAAAAGTGGGTCTTGGTCCATTTGTTACAGATGGACTAATTCAAGCATTTCTGAATTTTTAAACAAGGGGCGAGGCAAATTGCTTTAATTGTTACAGTGGGAACAGCTAGGTAGCACAGGGCAAGGTAATAAATATCTAACCTAAATGTCATAATAAATTTTGTCAGGCTGAAATTTATTGGCCTGTAGAATAGTCTCAAATGGAAAAATTTGGAGACGTGTTTTTTTAAGCTAGGCATTGCTGTAACTAATACACTGTTCTCTTTATTGGGGAGAGATGGACCCAGTGACCAGACCTGGCATCCCTCTGTGCTTTCTGTGGCAGACACAACACATACATCATATGTCAGGGCTATTTGGCACAATAAAGGAGTTTCACCCTGATGTCTGAATTTCTTTACTTTTGTGGGTTTGAATCAAATCCCTAAAGTTACTTGAACATAGTTTTTTTCTAGCTCAGTATTAATAATAGGTCAATTGCAACTTTTCTTGTGGTTGTGTTGCTGACAGCATCCGTCTAATCTTACGCTCTGTGGCCTCTTGGAACATTCACTTTTAACACCCACACAGAGAAGATATTTCAAGAAATTTCCTCTGAAGTTTATACAAAGTAAACAGATTTTTTCTCTGAAAAGTACTGCACAAAGCAGATCTTTCTCCATCAATCCATGCTAATAGTCCCTTGCCTGCATTTCAGAATTCCTGTGCTAGTCTGGGGTCTTAACCCAGTAAAAGTTTTAAGTCTCACTTTGATTATATTATTTGGTTCACTATTTAGTTATCTCTTTTAAAAAGTGACAAAACAGGATGTACACAAAATGGTGTAGGCTTCCATGCCTTTAAGTTGTCTTAATAATTCCTATGATTCATCACTTTTTCTCCTACTTCCTCACTGTTACACACCCAGACAAGCCAAATTTGTGCTAATTGCATCATGTAAATGATGATCTAAATTGCAAAACAGCTGATACCGCTGTATTCTGCCTAAAGAGGGTGTAAAGAGTTGCACCTATCCAGGTAATTTCTAACCTTTGGCCCACTGATCTCATTAAGAACAAATAGTGTTCCTTTTGATTGGTGTATTATCTTTTTTAGCATGTGTTTGTTTTTAGAAAAGAAATGTGGATATACCCACGTAGGTTTTACTCATAAGCTGCATTGTGCAGTAGGATCTTCAGGGCTAGTAAAACATAATAGAACTTTGAATTTATTTCTTTAAGTCCTTTCCCTCTTCCCCAGTGATTCTAGTACCTTCACTTGTAGAGTATTACTGCATCAGTCCTATCCTACTAGTAGGGTTGTTTTTTTGTTGTTTGTTTGTTTGTTTTTAAAAAACACCTTTCTAAAATAAATACATGACTAACTGTGCCCTTAGCATAGTTTGATGTCTCCATGACAATGAGGAGCCCTTGCAAGCACATGAGCATGCGTGCTCTCACGTTCTCTCCCTGCACTGCTGTGTGCTCAGGTGTTTTCTGAATTAGACTGTATTTTCCTGCTACAGCAGCTTAACCTTGAGCTTGGACATGTACATTAAATTCAGTAACTCTCTGTATGTTTAAGTGCTTTGCTGGTGAGTTACTTACATGTCAGCACAAAATCCTTAAGGCTTATTTATAGATTTTTATTTGGTTCTGACTACCCACAGTGACAAAAAGGTGAAACCAGTACCTTTCAACAAGTCACGCGTGAACCATGCTAAAGGTCTGCTGCAAGGGCCCTGAACATTGAATCAGGTTCCCACTGCACTGCTGAACAGAGCATGTTCCTTTCAGCAGCTCAGAAACGTCACCATTAAGTTCAACATTTCAGCCCAGTATGTACATTTGGGCCTCTTTTTCTCTATGATATCAGGCTGTCTGTATCATTTTAGAATTTGAACACCACCATCCCTCTGTAAACTTGCAAAACTCTTCCAGTGCAGTGGAAAACTGGAAACATCCTATATTCTGAAGATCACAGATGTGCTTTGTTCTCACGAGTAAATATTTTGGAATGTCGTAGTGGAAATCTCTTCCAAATATGTTGCATTCAGCAATTTTTGTCATCTGCAGGCTTGCTATATTCCTTTTCTCTGTATGAGATTTCATGCTTGCTGGTGTGCAATATGTTCATTTAAAATGCTTAATTTGTGCAGCAGCGCTTGCCAATGCCATGTTTCGCCAAGCATAAGAACATGCAAAGTACATGCCTGTTACTGATGAGAGATTTAGCATGCTGTTTTCTTTTTAGATCATAGCTGAACTTAAGGCAACCATTTCCTCTCTGACAGAGGAGAACAGCCGGCTGCAGCTTGCCACAGAACAGCGGCTCCAGGAAGTTGTACAAAAGTTTGAAGATAAGAAGCAGCAGCTGATTACAGATAATAACAGAGCAATCAAGGTAATCTGGGGATTTTAGTCACTGATGCTACTAGCTGTTTTAGTGTAATTAAAAGTTCTGCAGCGGGCAGATGAATGCAGGTATCGTTCCTGTTCGCACGGCACTCGCTAATTCCATTCACTGGACCTTGACTTTGATGTATTGGATGACTCAGGCTCTTTCCTCTAGCTGATTGTACGCCTGCATAAAAAGTTTGGGTTTGGCAAGTCTAATCCATCCACTTCAGTCAAATACTTGAAACTTTCCTTTTCTCTTTCTTTTAATGGTGACTCAGATATTTGAACATATTTTCAGCACCTTTACTTGGTGCTTTCAGTACTTGGAAAAAAAGGTAAAAATACGAGGTTGGAGCTGCACCACCTGACAGCCAGCAGCATCACACCAGCTTTGGTTTGGTTTTCACAAGGCGATGGAAACTTTCACAGTTAAGGACACAATGAAGGAAAGTATGTTCCCAGTTCCACTGGAGACTATATTCAAAGTCTTTGGTAAATATGAATGGAATCAAGTATTTTTGAAATTATATTTATATATATATATATATATATTTTTTTTTTTAAGAAGCTTTAAGATACTGCTGGTTTTGAATACTCAGGTTGTGTCGCTGCTTTGACACCTTGATTCAGAGTGGCTGCAGATAATCCTGCTGGAGCAAGTAGAATTACAGGTTTTTTTAAACATTTTTTCTTTCAGAGTAGTGATGGGCAATGGAAGCTTTTTGAAACTGTGCAATCTGCTAGGGTTGAAAACAAAAACATTTCATTAAAATTGTGTAGAAGAAGGAAAATGCCTTTCTACTTAGTAAGGACATTTAGTAGTACCAAACAAAGAATTACTCTGTTAAATCTAAAAACTTGTGAAAAAATCTTAAATCAAGTCCTACAGTTTTTCTAACTTCTGAAAAAGAAACAATGGGAATTTTTACACGTTGAACCTGTCTGATGTCTAGTTATGGTACACTTAATGTTGTCCTCTGTATTTGAGTGATTTGCATAATGAAGTTAAGTTGACCTTACTATCTCATCATCTGGAGCGTGTTCTTTTTACTTCTTTTCATAAATCATTTAATAGTACTTTTCTCTCGAGGAACAAGTCTGCCTTTATTTTTGTTTGTTTATTGAGGAACAGAATTCTCTTTCTGACCATTCTTTAGTCTCGTCTGTCAAAGGTATAGACGTATAAATGCTACCTAAAATATTTTATCCAAATCGAATCAGTAGAGGTAGCTTTTATTATCTAGGATCTGCAAATAGAGCATAGTTAAGTCACATTGTTTGGGGGTACAGGTTGGGTTTTGCCACCTAGGAGATTGTGTTATTAGTTCTCCAGCTTTCCAGTGGCCGATGGGGTATACAGAAGCCCTGTGACAGTGGAGTAGTCTTCCATATAGTCAGAAATATGTTGATACTCAACAGTTATTATGTCTTATACCTCCTTGAGTTATAGATTTGAAAAACACGTTTCAGGCTGTTTGCCAGCTTTTTTTCTTAGCACCCGGTGCAAATGCTGCTGTTGAATTTATGGATTCACTAAACTAAATTACGTTTAGTGGAAGTAATTCAGCTGTTGATAACAGCAATTTTTGAACAGTAATGGTTATGGGTTGTATGAAATCCTTCCCCATGTAAATGTGTGTTCAGCTATTATAGGCTTAATTTAGACATTATGACTCAAAATGTAATGAAATACATATAAACCTGGAGAATTCTGAACAATCTTTCTAGTGTCCCAGTGAATTTTTAGCTCCAGTGCTCTAAGCATGTTTTCTAAGATTTGGTCAGCTTGGGGAAGAAATTGTAGGAGATATTATGCTTGGAGATCTTGAACTTTTTTTAGTATCATTAGTATTGTACTTGAAAAAAATCTTCCTTTGAAACCACTGACTTAATGGAAATGTACTGAAAGCCAGATATCCAAACAGAAAATCCTTAGGAAGGTGAACTGCTGCATATGCTTCTGGAAGCAGAAAGAGGTGTTTTTAACATTCAAACATTTAGGGCTTTTTGCTTTTTTTTTTTTTTTTTTACGAACCACACATATTTTCTAGACGAGCATATGCAGAAATACTTGGCTTTTTATTATCCTGGGGCAAAAAAGTTGTTCTTGGTGAAAGTGGAATCCTAGATGTACTAGAGATGGGGAACAACATCCAACCCAGGGTAAGCTGAAGACCATGGGAGATGATTAAAGAAACGTCTAAGGACAAAGCAATTCTTAATATAGCATAAGCCTTTCTGAAGACTTCATATAAGCTATTGAAAAGACTGTCGTTGAAAAACAGGCATTTGCTAAATATAACATTGATTTAAACTAACATCGAGGAACAGATTGCAATATCCTTTCTATGGTATTGGGTGACTTCCTGTAAGACCTTCCAATTATTATTTCCTTTCAAAGGGAGAAATACATTTTTACAGAAACCAACTGGCTTTCGGAGAAGTTTCACGTTTAGTCAGTAAAGTGATATCCAGATGTGGATACCATAGTACATGATTTTGATGTTAATGCAAATTCCTGACTCTAAGTTGTTATTATTTCATGATTGTCTTGATTTTTTTAATAGTATCTTAAGCATTAGTGAAAAAGAATAAATGAAACTTAAGAACGTTTTGCTTCTTTTGACAACCTAAAAATCCAATCTGAGCAACCCTTTTTGGCTTCAGATGGCCTCAATTTGGGTCAGTTTGAGACATGCTTAAAGTACTTGGCATTCTGTAGTGCGCTGTGATTTGTCTGGCCTAGGGCAAGTCAAAGTTTGGGCTGTCAGAGTCATAGAATCAGGATAAAAGTTTGGCTCAGGAACTTCCTTTTTTGTGGCTAATAAGGTAACTGGTTTGGATGCCATCAAATTACAACATCTAACAGCAAATATCTGAGTAGACGTGGTCTGACAAAGCGCTGAACAACTAGGTGACTCCTGCCACTGCCTTTTTGCTGTTGTTGAGTTTGAGCCTGTTGGGATTACGACAGTGTTGGCACAGAGAGCGGTCCCAGAAGCACAGCTCGCTGCTCACTGCCGGGTGGATATCTTTGCTTTGAACTTTCCAGGACTTGCACTCTTTGGAGCACAGTACAAGGCCGCTGCAATTGGCCTGGCATGGGGCAAACGCAGCACGGCTCACCTGGTCCCTGTGCCATGCCTCTCCTGTAATGTACTTACACTTCAAAGATTGGGAACCATTGGGTTAGACCGCAGGATTAGTTGAGAGCACAATTATATTCATGCCCTGCAGATGGTTGGAAAAGCTGCTTAAATTGCAACGTCTGTTAACCCATTTGTGCTGCTTTCTGCTGGCACTTCAGAAGGCACCTCTCAGTGAGGTTTTGGGTGCTGAACTCTTGAGAATGCCTATGCAGGAGCTGTGTTGGTGATGTAAGTGTTGTGTAAACTTATTAAGGCTAAATTTAAACTAGCTGTCTTGCATTGTGATAGCAATCTAGCCACAGCAACCCAGAGCTCAGCACACTCAAGTGGTCAGGGCATTTACCTAACTTTACTGCCACTTTTGGCAGTGGTTACTGGCTGGACGCAGCTTTAGCATGAAGTTGATTGCATTGTAGAGATACCTTGAGGTTATTTATGAAATCCTAACTTTTCTTTTTCTTTCCTTTATGAAATCCATTTGGATTCTGGGATTGAAAGTGCTGCAGAACTGCAAAATATTCAGAGCGCTTTAATGTAGAAGTTGATGGCCAAGTGGGGACTCCACATCAAAAAGCAGATTCTGGAAAGAAATGGATGATGGAGAGCATGCAGTGACAAACCCACAACAGAAAAGGGAGAGAATGATGCTTTTTTGCCAGAGGAACCACATTTGTTGTTTGGCTCACATTACTGATTCTAGGATTCTGTTATATCCCCTGAATTAACACCAAAATTTCATTAGCAAAACATGTTTTGAAGATGACATATTTCAACACTTTTTTTGTCAGCCAGATGATGATCAGATTAATTCTGTTAATAAATGGAACTTAAAAGATTTCTAGGAAAGAATGTCATATAATAATGTCCCCCTTTGTGTGAAAAATTTTGAAACAGTTGTTTTCCTTTGTCAGGTTTTAAAATATTGAGGGGGAAAAAAATCAATAGTGTGTTTTATAGCCGTAACAGAAAAAAAAGGAGAAAACTTTTGGTTTTAAATTGTTCAGACTAATGTGCTCATCAACATCATCATATATTTGTCAGATGCTGCCATACCTTGGAGCAAGAAAATCATTTCCTCTATGCAAAGGCTGGGCTGAGGGTTTATCAACACGGTGAAATTTCTCGGTGCAGCTAGACCAAAATATTCTGCTATAGGTATACGTGAGTCAGCCTTCATGTGGGGTACTCGGTTTCCTTTATTCTGGAATGCTGTTTCCACTGGGGAGGCAGGGGGGCTGCAGGGTTGTTGCTCTGTTTTGGCATGCTGTGACAGCAGATTTCCCTATCAGGAGAGCGTGTGGACTCCTGGGCTCGGTGCTCTCCGCTCTGCCCACATCCTGCAGCACCAGGGCTGCATGCCCTTCTTCTTCGGTTTGCTTAATCCCCCTTCCCTTTCACGTTTGGTTCCAGCTAAAAGTAAAGCAAATCATTTTAAACCTTGGGATGTTCAAAGCATTCAGAACGTTTCTTTAAGGGCACCTGATATCTTTGTTTCCAGGAAGTAGTTAGCAAAATATACCAATGGAATTTACAAGCCTCTCTAAAATGCAGTATATCAGCAAAAATGGTCTTACGAATTTTGTGAACAAACTACTTTTAGGTAGATTTTATTATTAGCAAATTCCACTTGTAATTACAAATAATATTTAGTGTTCAAACAAAAAGTATGTCAGAGCTTTGAAACATTAACTGAGTGACTGCAGTCCTGCAAAAGTATTTAGCCTGTTGTCCTCAGAATACCTTTTGGAGCACCACTATTGTACTTTGCAATTGCCAATGATGTTTTTAATAAGAAATAACTAATTACATTTTCTTGGTTTTAAAGTCCCAAGCAAAGCTAGCTGTCAGTGTTTTA